GCTGTTTCATTGCAGCATTGTGTAAAGTGGTTTTTAGTGTTTAGATACACTAAAATCTTTCACAGTGTAGGTCCTTAGTCAGGTGACTCAAATATATTCTATTGGTTGAATTTTTTACTGCAATCGTCTTCGCAGTCTAGCTCAAACGAAGAAAGAAAAAAATTGGAAACCATTTTAGTAGTTTAAATTCAGCAGCAAGTGACGTAATCGAAATCTGCTTTTCGAGAACAAGATATATGATCTAATTTCATCGATAAGGGACCCGTTTTTGATGCAGGTAGTTCTTTTTTTTTATTTCTCCTCAGCTGTAAGAAAAAAAAGAAAAACTCGTCATGTTGTATTGAAGACTTCTGTGCCACCCACGCGTGGTCTCATCAATGTCTAAAAAAATGGTTCTTTATGTTTCCGGTCAGCATTCATCACGCTTTTGATATCGAGCTTCAATGAACTCATTTTCAGGTGATGTTGCCACCACTCGAAATAAAATAATCCTCTTAAATAAGTTAAGCCTATTTTTACAAGTAATTTGGAAGTATCCTTTACGTAAAAACAAAATATCTATACTTGTAAAAGATTAAAACTATTATTTTAAAAAAAAAAATGCTAAAAACGTAAAAGATTTAAACTGCAGTCGGACTTCTATTTAACGAACTTCCATTTTGCGAAGTTCTCTTTTCTGCGATGTTTTTCAAGGAACTAAGAACATTTTGGAAATTAATTCGTAAAACAACTTCCAAACAGCGAAGTGAATTTTCTATTAAGCAAAAATTTTTTGAGAATATTTCAAACTCGTTAACGCATTTTATGGGGAAATTGATCTTGAATTGATTTTCGAAGCCACTTAATTTTTTTTAGAGAAAGCAGTAAAATCCCTTTTCCTTTTTTGTTTGCATTTCAAAAGAAAAACTAACGGATTTTATCAGTAGCAATTAAACTTAAGAACGCATGTGGTAATGTAAGTGGAATGCATGTAGTATGTTTAAAACTATTTTTATAATAAATGTAGCTATAATTTTATACATAAATTTAGCTTTTTTAGTTGAAAACGTATGTAGCATGATAGTGTAACTTTTAATAATGTTTTGCTTTATTCTTGCTTTCCATGCAGATTTCTTTTATGGTTAAGATTTATAAAATAAATAGTAGATATTAGTTTACTAAGTAAAGTTGTATCAATTGCTATTTTAATTATAACTAGTGCTTATGAATTTAAAACCTGCTTTGTGTTGTTTAAGTATTTCAAAAGGTGATTTTCTATTTAGCGAATTTCGTGAAATAGAAGTCCGACGGTATTATTAAAAAGGTTATTCTAAATATGAAAAAAGATTAAAACTATTATTATTTAAAAAAATATGCTAAATTTACTTCACATTTCCTTTCATTAATAAGGGTAATAGGTTTGTATTTCCGCTTAATACGATGAGTATCAAGTCACTTTTCAACTTTGTAAACAATTTTTGACTAAATTATGAAAATCGACGAGAAAGGCTAAAAAATACAGAAATTACCATTGTAAAACCTAAAGGTTAGTTTTAATTTTAAAATATTTTATTTCGAATTTACTGGACTTCGGAGCATAAGTGGATAAATGAAGCTCATGGTCAATACAATCGTAATAAAAAAAATTATCTTCGCTGCTTAAAGTGGAATTTAACAAGTTGATGAAAATTGATGATAAAGGCAATATAATGCTAAATTTTATGGTGCTATAAATCATGGAAACATCAATCAGAAAAATAGTAATTTTAATTTTAAGTATAATAATAATGTATCAGATAACCAAATATTTAGGACTCTGAGAATCGGGTTTTTACTTTTCAAGAAGACCTCCCATACCCACACATGTGACCTATGACGTCAGCGCCAGCTAATCTTAATCAGTAAAATGGTGTATAAAAGTTGAGCTAAGTTAGAATGTTAATTAACGTGAAGTTAATTAAATATAAAGCCGTATCTTACATCGAATTCGTTGAATTATAATTCTTTCTCGTCTATTTCTTTTACTTAACTATTTGTTTAGTAATTTTAATTATTTGTTTATGTATTTTATTGCAACCGTTGTATATTTAACTTCGTGTACCTGGCAACTTCGATACATAATTAGTTTGTTTATGTTCAACATGGCTTCGTATCTGTCTTTGTGTTAAGTATCTGTGTAAATATATAGTGAAAGAATCTTTGTAAAACAATTTAAAATACGTCATTTAAGAAAATTTATACTTGACGGGCTCGGCTTACTCGAAATAGAATGGAAAGAACAGTTGCTAACATAAACAAATGTCACGTTTCACCAGCCAATCAGGATCGAGGTACCAGCTCCAGGTCACTTGCAGGTGTCCCATTATTAATTAAATAATGTTGATGATTAGTATACAGAACAGTAAAACCGAAGGGAAGATTAAAATTTTTGATTAATATTTGATTTTCTCTTGAAGAAACCTGGTTTGATTTTTTGTCGCCAAATTGATAAATAAAAAATTCTAATCACAAAAATTTTTTTGTGTTTTGAATGGTTTGAATAAANGCAACTTCGATGCATAATTAGTTTGTTTATGTTCCACGTGACTTTGTGCCCGTCTTTGTGTTAGGTATCTGTGTAAATATATAGTGAACGAATCTTTGTAAAACAATTTAAAATACGTCATTTAAGAAAATTGATACTTGACGGGCTTTGCTTACTCGAAATAGAATGGAAAGAACAGTTGCTAACATAAACAAATGTCACGTTTCAACAGCCAATCAGGATCGAGGTACCAGCCCCAGGTCACTTGCAGGTGTCCCATTATTAATTAAATAATGTTGATGATTAGTATACAGAACACTAAAACCGAAGGGAAGAGTAAAATTTTTGATTAATATTTGATTTTCTCTTGAAGAAATCTGGTTTGATTTTTCGTCGCCAAATTGATAAATAAAAAATTCTAGTCACAAAAATTTTTTTGTGTTTTGAATTGTTTGAATGAATTGTTTTTGTTAAAAGTTTTTCTTAAATTTTTTTTTTAAAATCATTACAAGGTAAGAGAAAAATTCTTTTTTGTAAATTCCAATATTTTTAATTCGAAATTAATCTGTTCACAGAAGAGTCAATGTTATATTCAAGTCAATGATATATTCTTATATGATGAATGAAAACATTCTTTCAAGTCAATGCTTCAAAAATTTTCTGATTCCATGCAAAAAAAAATTTAGGCTGAAAGAAACCTTTTGATATACACCGCAAAATACGATTATGCATTCTAAAAATGTATCTTTTACAGCACACACAACGCAAAAAAAAAAAAAGAAAGAAAAACATTAGCATCTTATAGCAAAAGTTACTAACACTGCGACTGTCAGCAGATGCTGTAAAATTTACGGAAAATTTACTGTTTTGAATATTACTGCAGACTGATGTAGAACTCACAGCAAAGTTTTGGGAAGTTTTTGCTCCTTCACTGCATTATTGCGCATTGTCAGTAACAACGCGTTGTGGATTGTACGTCAGTTTGATGAAAAAGTCACAGTATTGTTTAAAGCAGTAATTTTGTAAATTTATATACTTCCTGTTTTCAGCAAGTTCAGCTGTAAAATACATAGAATATTCTTATAGTGTATATACTTCGTTTCCCTTGTTGGCAACAAAGATTTGAAACAGTGGCAAAAATGAAGAGTGTAAGAAATTAACAGACTCGAGTTGCATTTTTTAAAACTTTGCTTATTAATTTATGTAGGTAACACACTTCATAGCCACGTTTTAGCTTTAATGGCGCTTTATAATTAACGCAGGAAAGAGGTGTGTTTTATCAATTGAGATTTGACAGAAATCTTGCTAACACGAGTCTAGCAACATACGTTGCTAATTGGAGTAAATAATCTAATTATTTTTTAACTCTTGTGTAATACCTCCATTGTTACCCACTTCGTCACTTATTTTGATGGTTGTTATTGGTCCAACAACAAGCATAGCATGATGGTTGAACCATCATAGTAGAAAAACAACATGTTCCATCTTAATTTGATGGTTGCTGTTGGTCCAACAATACTAAGCATAACGTGATGGTTGAACCATTATATTAGTAAAACAATATCTTCCATCATATTAAAATGGTTGTTAGTACAACATTAATAAACAAATCTTGTTGGTGGAGGATAAAAGTAGCCATACAGCATCTTCCATCATATTTTGATGGTTGTTGTTGATCCAACAATAAAAAACTTGTTGGTTGATCATCATACTAGTAAAACAACCTCTGCCATCAAAATATGATTTTTTATATTGGTCCATCAAAGATCAAACATTGCTTGATAATTTATCATCAAAACACAAAAGCAAAATTTTTATTTCGTAATGATTGAAATTTGTGGGACCATCAAAGCTAGAGGAAAATTGTTGTATGGTGGTGACCATCAACAGATGTTGGACCATCAAGAATCTTTCTGAAACCAACATTAACCATCAAAATTCTTCGATGGTACCTTCAAGAATTTTGTCTTGGGTATGCTCTTTTATTCATTTTCTGAACTGTTTTTTTTATACATCTTATGACTAATATGTTTTTTATAGTGTGCTTTCTAAGTAGTACTGAAATGTAAATAAATAAAATCATGATGTACCTTAATTAAATAAAATGTACATCAATCAAAAGGTTCATAGCATGAATAAGTAACATAATTTAAAAACTTCATTTCGAAAAGGGTAGCAGCATATACACAAAAGCAGACTAAAATAAATAATTATCCAACGTGCAAATGAAGTAATCTAAAAACAATAGAGGCTTGGCATATAGTCAGGGGGCGACCCCTTAGTAACTTTCGTGTCTTCTAAACAAACCTGATAGCTATTAAGCCTGTTTTTTCAAGGAAATATAAATAAATAAAAATCGTTGCATGTATATTATAACTATTGTTGCATACATTTGCATGTAAATAGTTGCATGTTCATTGCATTCATTCATTAATGGAAAAATATTTGCATGTATGTACTACGGATTATAAATAATGTTTTTTTATTTTATTTGCAGATGTGGCAAGATATTGAAAGTGTTTTGCTGGGAGATTTGACTCTAACGACGTCATCAAACTACACGGATATTCGCCCGGTTTCCTCCAATCAGAGTTCTTTTACACCAATGACGGATGACAGCGGGGGTGGTAGTTTATCGTCCATTCACTTGCCAAGCCCGGGCAACAACAGTGGACAACGTCGTTGTCCTCAATACAGCCAACCACTGTCGCCAAACTTTTCATCTCAAACGCAACCCTTTCACCAGATTCATCAGGCTCAAAAGAGAATGGGTGACGCCAACACATTACGCCTGGACAGGGACCTGGGCTTAGTTTACGATTCTTCGCCAAAGACTTTGTACAGTGAAGAGCCATCGAACATTTTACCAAGTACTTCGAAGTATGATCTGGGTTTGATGGGTAATACCCCCATCGAACACCACACTCCGGAACAAGTCGCGATGTTTGGTGCTCAAGATTACCAGACGGCGTCGAACCAACAACTCAGATACGGGTCTTCCATTGTGGACATTAAACCTGACGTGATGGCAAACAGTGGTTTTTTCAATAATCCTTCGAATAATACCGTGGGCAGCAATAATTACCTGATGCCGTCGTGGAACAATTACTCCTCACCCGTTTTAGCTAGTCATTCTTCGCCTCCGACAACCCCTGATAGCAACGTCATGAGATACCAACAGAACCAGTATGACGCTTACTTCAATAACGCTCAAATGCAGAGGATACAGTCGGGACGTTCTAATAGCATGCCCAATAATCACACTTTGCAATCCCCATTTTCAACGTCTTTCACCCCACAAGGAAGGATGGTCACCCCACCAACGTCACCTCACCTCATGGACTTGCTTTCAGGTCGCGGAGGAACCACGGGGATGACCGTGCTACCGAATTCGGTTGGAGTAGGAATCGAACAAACTTTAGGTGCTGGCGTTGTACCACAACCTCCACCACCCACTAAACCCAGAAGAGGTAGAAGGTCCAGAGGACCTAAGAAGGTGACCATACACACCTGTTCGTACCCGGGTTGTTCCAAGACTTATTCGAAAAGTTCTCACTTAAAAGCTCACTTAAGAACTCACACGGGCGAGAAGCCTTATCAGTGTAATTGGAAAGGGTGCGGTTGGAAATTTGCGAGGTCTGACGAACTGACGAGACATTACAGGAAACACACGGGCGACAGACCTTTCCAGTGCAGGTTGTGCGAGAGGGCATTTTCTAGATCAGATCATCTATCACTGCATATGAAAAGACACTCTGAAATTGTATGATTTGAAGTAGACACTATAAGAGTATTTAAAAAAAAATATAAAAAGGTGGAGGTCTTTGCTGAATTTTCCTCATTTCTTTGAATTTCTCTCTTTTTCCCCCTCTTAAAATTTGGCTTACAACAACATATCGATTTTTTGCTGCAAGGCCGTCGCCAAATGATTTCTGAATACTTTGTTGGCACCGAAGTATGTAGGTAAGTTTCTCATCTTTTAATTAACTCATTTTGATTGCCAATTTTTTTTAGATGGTCTTTGAAAAATAATTCTTACTGAACTTATTACTTTTGCATTTTATTTCGCATCAATTCGTTACAATTAAGCTAAGCAAAATATTTAATAATAACTAAGCAATTTAGAAATTGTTTAAGCTCAGCGATTCTCCCAGAGTCGAAATTCTTGATGGTTCCATCATAAACCTTTGATGGTTTATGTTGGTTTCAGTGTGATTCATGATGGTCAATCATCATCCAACATTTTCCATTACATGTTCATGGTTTTTGATATGTCAACAAGCTTCCATCATGCCATGATGGTGCATGCTACTTAAATACTACGATGGTTAACCATCAAGAGAAGTTTGACTCTCATAGACCAACAATCCATGATGATCCGTGATGGTTCCAACTATACATTTCCATGCATGGGAATTTTTGTTGGTTCACAGGAATATACCATCAAAATTATTTTTTTTTTTTTATGTTGAACCACCATAAATCAGTCTGAATTCCCACATCGGGATAATGGTTGTTCATGATCGTTCCAACATTTGATTAAGATACTATGATAGAAATTCGTGACGGTTTAGCATGAACAAACCATCAAAACAAGTTGCTATTCCTATGTTGAACCATCATAAATCAGTCCGAATTCCTACACTGAGGTAATAGTTATTTATGTTGGTCACCATCAAAAAATATAATGGTTCATGATGGAATTATTATTGGTTACCATCAGTATTATGTTAGTCCATCAACGGATCGTAAAACATATTAGTACTTATAGCCATCACGTGGTGAAATGTAAACTTCATTTTCCATAGCTAATTATTTGGTTTAAACATTGTGTAGACCATTAAAGGTGCTCAACGCTAAGAAAAATCCCGTAATTTATGGTTTCCAATTCTGACTTTCTAAGACAGGATGCATTTAAGTTTCATCATGATTACTCCCGAAACAGTTCATATAAATTTACATTTTCCAATTCCGATTTCCTAAGACAAGTCAATATTACGCTTTGTTAATTATGAACTTTCAAGGTCACTGTTTTCCCCCCCTTTAGTTTGTAGTCGTTAGTTTTGTTACCATTTAGTAGTATTATCTGTCTATTAAGAGACCTCTAACCTTAATGTCTAGGTTTTAGGTTGAATTTTTAATTTGTGTTAGCTTGGTAATTTGTGTATTTAACTAATGCTTGATGATATAATATTATTTGTCATAAGAATAACTTTCAAAAAAATGCAGAAAATAAAGGGTATCAGACGTGGAGAAATAGTGCTTGATAATTTTTAAAACTTTTATGAAATTTTCTTCAAAACTTAAAAAGCAGTAAAAAAATGCGATTTGTGTTTTTGCTTAAATAATTTAAAGCTGCGTTTCTTAGAATTTACATTTATTATTGCTGTTAAAATTAACGAAAACCGATTTTGATGACGCTGAAAAAATATTTTAACATTAATTGCATAAAAACAAATATACTTATGGGTCAGTAAGCGGGTGGTTGGCCACTTTGATCAGCCTGCGTAGGGACCAAGGGTTCACTGTATCGGTCCTCGTTAAACTGTTGTACCGTAAAGTGCTCGACATCGCGCGCAGGTCGTTGGGCTACTAGAGCGGAGGAGCCATCCCCTCTGCTGAGGATCAAAATTGTGATGGCATGTCTTCGGATCATCCTCAGGGATGTTTCCCAGACCGTCGCCAATAGCCCATTGTGCAGCTCTAGTGCGAGGTAAATAAAGAACCTACCTACTTATGAAATATCCATGAACAGGCCTTTGTAAAATATTTAACGACTTATCAAAAACTGTTGATTGCAAAATTGTATTAGGATAATTTGTCCAAAAGAAGAAAAAAATTAATAGAGAATTTATAACTCTGCACGCTTTATATTTCAAATTGTGATTGGGTGACGGTCTTGTATTTCACATTTATCAAAAGAAACTGCCTNGGTGTGCGGTATCGGTCCTCGTTAAACTGATGTACCGTAAAGTGTTCGACATCGCGCTCAGTTCATCGGACTACTAAAGCGAGGGAGCCATTTTCTCTACAGAGGATCAAAATTGCGATGGCTTGTCTTCGGATCATCCTCAGGGATGTTTCCCAGACCGTCGCTGATAGCCCATTGTGCAGCTCTAGTACGACGTAAATAAAGAACCTACCTACTTATGAAATATCCATGAACAAGCCTTTGCAAATTATTTAACGATTAATCAAAAACTGTTGATTGCAAAATTGTATTAGGATAATTTGCCCAAAAGAAAGAAAAAATCAATAGAGAATTTATAATTCTGCACGCTTTATATTTCAAATACCACCCCTGCGATACTCCACCCCTGCGATAGTTAAGCTCGGTCGGGAGAGGCATGACCTAATCAGTTGGTCGGAAAAGTTATATTATTTTTGGAGTTAGATCTAACTACTTTGTTGCAAATGCAATTAACTACAACTGCTTTCTCTTAAAATGTAACGACTACAAACTACTTTCGAAATTAGTTCACTACTTTAAGGAGGCGAATTTTGCTTTAGAATTTAATTTCCACCTATGTTCAAAATGGTTTTGAATACGCAATCTGCTTACATTTAATATAAAGGAACAATTAAGAATATTTATTTATATTTTTACATGAGCCTGTTTGTTATTCAAAAAAAAATTTTTTTTCTTTTGAATTTGTTCATTTAACTTTCAATTTTTTATGACTTTATATTTAATTTAAAAATGCAAAATTATCAAATACTTATAATTTTTTAAATTCTTTAATGCTTTTATATTTCCTTCAAGGAATTAAGTACAACGACAATACGCTCTGAAATAACATCGTTTTATGAGTGTACATTCATTCGTGAGAGTGTGACCAAAATGATTAATTATCTATTTTTATCATTGGCTTGATCAAATATTAGTTATACATGGTTCTAAATACGTCATTCCTGCTCACGCTCAGCTATACCCAGTCACAGGGTCATCACATCGATTGACGAACCCGAGAAGATTCCTACCCATCCAATTCGAAAAGATTAGTAGCACTAGAGTCGTGTTTCCTTACTAAACTAACGCTAAAAGTAGTTTTCAGGAATCGCTACAAAATGCTGTTTTTTTTTGTGTCGTACTACTCAGTACACTACTTTTTTTTAAAAAAATCGCACACTACACCGTAAACTACGAAAAAAGGTAGCGACTACAGTTGTTTCATTATTTGTAGTGCGCTACTTCACACCACTGGGCTTAATAAACCAACAGCGTAGTTTGTTTTTTGAGATTTTTGTTTTTCCAGTTTTTCTACACTATGAAAGATCGAAAGAAATTTTATTATATAATTCATTGAACCGCGATGGCTCAGGGGATAGAGCGTTCGTCTTCCAATGAGGCGAACCCGGTTCCAATCCCAGTGAAGGCGAGTCGATACGAATTCGGCATCCGGCTTGCAATGACCACAGCGCTGATGTGAAATATCCTTAGTGGTAAACGGATCATGGGTTAGAGTCCTCTTGCCGTCAGGCTAACCGTGGGAGGTTCTTGTGGTCTTTCCTCTCCATGTAACGCAAATGCGGGTTAGTTTCATCAATAAAGTCCTCCACGAAGGCAAATTTTTCCCCAATACTTGATCCAGGAGTTCCCTTGTCTTCCGGATTGTGTTCAAAATTACAAGGCCATAGAGTTGAACATTAGTAGTTGTAAACCCAAATTTGGGTCGGCTGTTCAACGACGGTTATAAAACATATAATTCGTTAATTTCTTCAAAGAAATCAAGGAAGTCATATGTGGAAATTAATTCGAAATGTTCAATTTTTCTTCCTTTAATGTATTGTTTTTAGTAATTCTAAGCTTCACTTTACAACCGACGACTCTTAAAATTTTTTGAAAGTCGATAAAAGTAACTAACTCAACACCTTTTTGTTTACTAAACAAAAAAAAAAGAAAGAAAAAAAAAACGAAAGCAAAAGCTTATGGTTACTAAGTGAAACTTTCTTTTACTTGATTCGGTTAACGTTCGTAAACCAAATTGCAGCTCACACTATAACTGCCGACGTAAAGCACCAAAGGTTATAACTAGCGTGACTTTGAAAGCCTTGTGAAGACCAGGGGCCAAAAACCACTTTGGCGGCTTGATTTAAAGCCGGTAATAAAACACCCACTATTACATCGGATAAGAACGCCTCATTTGCTACATTTTTAATTTTTTTCTTTTTATTTACTTATCAGTGTTATAGACTCTGCTTTTTCACTTTTATTGCTTTTATATTGCCTCTTAATTTAACGATTGAGTAGAGTTTCATTACTTATACACGCCACATCTCCTATTAAAACTCCAATGTGAGTTGAAAACTTTCATTGTTGCTTTGATTAGTAGTCTAACAATTCATTTAAATTTTGCACCATAATTTGGGGCTGTATAACACGACAGTATGGTTCCACTTCTACGAGAATATGGTTGAATTTAACACATTATTAAGGTTACAGCATATTTATAACGTATTATGGTTTAACGCACCGATATCGTTTTTTAATGTTGAACAGATATTTGTTACAATTATGTTAGTAGCTTGATTATTTAAAAAATTATGTTATTTAAAATTACAATTGTGTAGCACCACAATTACAATTATGTTACTTAAAAGTAGCTTGATTATTTTAAAAATTATGTTATTTAAAGTTACAATTATGTTACATTACAATTACAATTATGTTACTTTAAAGTAGCTTGATTATTTTAAAAATTATGTTATTTAAAATTACAATTGTCTAGCACCACAATTACAATTATGTTACTTAAAATTAGCTTATTTATTTTAAAAATTATGTTATTTAAAATTACAATTGTGTAGCACCACAATTACAATTATGTTATTACAATTATGTTACTTAAAAGTAGCTTGATTATTTTAAAAATTATGTTATTTAAAATTACAATTATGTTACACTACAATTATGATTATGTTACTTAAAAGTAGTTTGATTATTTTAAAAATCATGTTATTTA